GTTTACATTATACATCGTCATAGGTATGTTATAATTTACCTTACAAAGCATTTCAAAACAATGCACGTCACATTGGCGGGAATTTTCAAATTTCAAGAAAAAGGGATATCAGTGGAATATTCTCCGTATTCGACAGATATCGCTTTTTCCACATATTTACAAATATCATAAATATACAGGGTGTGCCAAAAAACTGTCTTGTTGAAAGATAAAATCTTCACTATATGTTCGTTTTATGTCTTTTAACAGACCCCTTTTGAGTACTTATTGATAAAAAAAAACATTGAAATTCATAAACAATAAGTAAATCACACAAGTCAATGTACCATATTGAACGTAACTATTTTAATCCCGATTTAAAGCTGTTTTTTGGCCAACCCTGTATTAACGTGTTATTCAGAATTCACTTCAACAATGGGATAATAATATAATATGATATAATATAATGTAATGAATGCAATATTATGTAATATAATATAATTATAGGTTATTTCATGCTTGATTTTCAATATGAATAACTTTATTCCAGGGTAACATGATTTTGACCGAGGGAAATATGACACTGACCGAATGAGCGTAGCGAGTGAGTGTCAATATAATATTTCCCGTGGTATAAATTAATATTGAAAATCCAGCATGAAATAACCGTTTTATTCCATAATTTAATAATTGAGAATTCAAGGGAAAAGAAATATTTTAAAAAATTGAAACAATGAACATTTTTGAAAAAAAATTGAAAAGTATTGGAAAAATGAAAATGTTTGAAAAAAAGATTCAAAAATGATTTTTTTTTTGTAATAAATAAAATCTTTGAAAATTGCAAGTTTTTGAAAAATAAAAATTTCTGAATTTTTTTTTCCAAAACTAGAAAAAATCTAATTTTTGAAAAATTTAAAAATCTAATTTTTGAAAAATTGGAAAAACTGATTTTTGAAAAAATGAACTTTTTTTGAAAAAAGGGACAATATGATTTTCAAGTATATATGTTTTTTTCCAGGGACAATATGATTTTTCGAGTATATATGATTTTAAGAGGGATAATTATAATTTTATTTTCCAGGGAAAACAGTGGTATTATGGAATAATATAATGTATTATTATATACTCCATATGTATGCTAGCTCATTGGCTTATTCATGGTCACATGATATGAAAAAGATGAAGTAATTCCATGCAAAGTTCTAAATTCCTGCTATCAGGGAAGATGAAATGTCCTTATCACCAGTTAGGTCATGTGGACAGGCATTTGTATGTATCACGCCCGGTGATCGTACAAATGGGATGGAGGGGGGGGGGATTAGGCGATTTATATGTCTTTACGATAGAACAAACTCACAAGAACTGTATTTAAAAAAAAACTCAGTACCCCCGTAAGAAACTGGATATTATATCTCTGGAGAATAAAAATGGGAAAATTTGGAGTCATAAGAATAAATTCAAGTAGCATGTCTTATCATGTCTTAAATTCACGTTATCCCCCTTCCATCCGATCCCCCCTCCCCCCGATCCCCCCTCCCCCCGATATTAATTTATTTCAATTATTTTTTGTATAACGCATGAAAACTAATTTTAAAAAGTGAGTAATGTCATTAGTATTGTGATAATAACGTCCCTTATACCTATTTATTACAGGTCGTGTAGACCATTTTTGCCCGATTTATAGCAAAAACATTGACGTTTGCACGTTGGTGATAATGGGTCTTTCTTCTCATATCTTAGAAGGGTATCAGTTCAAAAAAATACTAGATGACCTAACATATTTTGCCATGCACTGCGTCTATTCATTTGGCAATTAAGTTGTAAATTTCTCTTGAAAAAATAAATCTTCCATATTTGTTGAGTTTTCTTGCAAAAATCGCCTTATCCCACTCCATCCCATTTGTACGATCACCGGGCGTGTGTATATCTTCCCTGATAGCTGAGCTTATAAGAGTTGAAAGGCAAAATACCTTTAAATGCCAAGAAGAACCTGTCAACCTTAAATTTTGAAATGAAAATACTTCCCATTTTGTTTTTGTAAAGAATACACATGAAGTATACAATAAAACAAATACTCACTGCCTCATTTTCGGGAAATAGTGTAAACATTTTCCCCTCGGAATATCCTGTGCATCCTGTGCATCGTGACATGTTGCCTTGGCCTGTAGCCGCGGAGGACAGGATATTCCATCAGGAAAAATAGTTTGCACTTTCCCTCAATGGCAGTCACTATTTGAATAATAAAATAAGTATAAGCTGTTCCATTTATCCTATAGTTTAACCATGGACGTAGGCCTTTTGGTATACGTCCATGACCTAACAAAGCATTGCAAAACAACATTCAGTTTTATTTTGTCATTTGAACTGTCAAAACATAAATCATTTTCATTGTGACGTCATAAAATCACCATTTTAGCTCGTGTGTCAATGCACATCACATTGGCAGTTTTCAAATCCGTGGAAAAAATTGATATCTGTGGAATATTCTCCTTTATCCCACGATTAATGTGTTATCTGTACAATAACAGCTATTGATATTTCTGATATTATCGAAATCCGTGTGATATTTTCCAGAAAATCGTTTATCAAACTCATATGCGTGTGATATCGTTTATCTCACGCATATCCATGTGATATCACATTTGCATTTCGCGCCACAATATTGTTGGGAATTGGGTCAGATAATTTATTCTCTTTTGAGAAAATAGGTCCGTTAATTTATTCTCTTTAAGTTTCATTGGTGTATTGAATTACGATTGTGTATATAATTTGCTTAGAAGGCTGCTAACTAACGATTAAAAAAGGTATTTATGACGAACTATATCATGTACAGAAAGTAGTGCATATTACTGCGCAGTAAGTAAAGTACAAATCAAAATGGCCGGTGCGAATTCGTCTGACGAAGAATTAAAAATTAAAATAAAAAAACATCACAAGGTGATTGTAATCATGGGATAAACCCAATATCACATAATTTCTCGTGATATCATTTTATCGCCTCGTAGATATCAAATATCAACACTCATTCGCTTCGCTCACTCGTGTTGATATTTGATATCAACTCGGCGATAAAAATGATATCACTCAAAATGATGTGATATTCTGTATTATCCCATGGTTGCAAGGATATAGATCGAATATCACATGAAGATATATTTGATATGTGGATCAAGATATCATATTTTAGCAAAAAATTCACAAACCATCGAATATCACTTTTAAACTATCGAATATCACGTCTTAGAAAGTGATATTCGATGGTTTGAAAAGTGATATTCGATGGTTTGAAAAGTGATATTCGATGGTTTCGAATTTTTTCAAATTTTTTTTACATTTTTTAATTATTTTCAAAAATATTTCAAAAAAATTCAAAATTTCAAAAATAATTTCAACATTTTTTCACATTTTTTTCAATTTTTTTTCATTTTTTCAAAATTTTTCTCAAATTATATTTTTCAACTTTTTTCGCTGATGATGATTTTCCATGGGATAAACGGACAATCCTATGGTTTTTCAAAAATATCAATTATATCCACTCATGGATACAAATATCTTCACTCATTCGCTGCGCTCACTCATGAAGATATCAATATCCATTCATGGATATAAATGATATTTTTTCAAAACCATAGGATATTCCTATATTATTCTACAGATTTGACCTCAGCTAAGGGATAAGATGTTATATAATATATTATCACATACTATGTAAAAATCTAGTATTTTGATTTGTTGCTTTCTATGCCGTATTTCCCGTATCAAATGAATTTCCTATGATCCGAGCACACGAACCACACGTTGTCTATAATAACGAAATGACGTCATACAACTTCATTCTATTCTTTCCTAATTCAAAATGACGTCACATATTGCCTATGTTATAATTTCATTTTTCGGACTTGTTGTTCTGGGTTGTTCTGGTTTATATCACAAGCCAATGAGGCTTGTAAAGGAGGAGGGAAGTTAGCGCAACAGATTTCGGACAGTCATATGTTGGATTTTGGCCATTTTCTGAGGATTTTAACAATTGCATATATTAGGCCAATGCATTTCCTCCAGGAAAATCACTTCTAGAGATGATAAAATAATTTCGACTTGGAGACAGGTTAGATGCAAACAACCCACCCACATGTTTTTTCTGAAATGTTTTCCTGATTTTCAACCCCTTCCATCCCTGCTTTTTTAATTTTTCTTGCATCAATATGTTGCATTTTGACAAATAGTTAACCACTTTAAAGGAATAAGTGATTCCTTCAGGGGTTTTAAAGATACCCATTATTGGTGACCAAACTTAGCTGAAAGCAATGATTTTTCCTATGGGAAAATAACATGGGGAATATTGTTTTCCACTTTATCTAAAAGGAATCATTTATTCCTTTTAAAGGATTAACTATGTGTCAAAACGCAACATATTGATGCAAGAAAAATTAAAAAAGCAGGGATGGAAGGGGTTGAAAATCAGGAAAACATTTCAGAAAAAACATGTGGGTGGGTTGTTTGCATCTACCCTGTCTCAAAGTTGAAATTATTTTATCATCTCTAGAAGTGATTTTCCTGGAGGTAATGCATTCTCCTAACATATGCACCTGTTTAAATTCCCAGGAAATGGCCAAAATCAAACATATGACTGTCCGAAATCTGTTGCGCTAACTTCCCTCCTCCTTTACAAACCTCATTGGCTTGTGATATAAACCAGAACAACCCAATAAGGTGTGTATAAATGATTAACTTCCCTGTTATCTCAAAATCTGCTTGGAACTATACCATTGGATTAACATGGGAAATTCCTCAAATATAAAATTCTTGGAATTAAGGAAGGGGTACCAGCATACATAATTAGAGAAATTATTGGCATACATGAAACCTATTTAAAACAGCATTAATATTATCTAAAAGCGATCGAAATAATGATTCACAGCCCTCTGAAGTTTGAAAAATAACAATGCCAGGGTGTGAATCCATAGATAATCCTCGAAAATGAGAACTATTTTCTAGGATTATATGGTGCAATCTTATAGTCAATAAAATGTTTCAAAGTGTATTGAAAAACACAAGCAAAATGCATGAAAAAGCTCCTAATATTCATCCTGCAAACAACTTGTTGTCCTTTGAACTGTATTTGAAACACCTGAAAATAGAAACAAATTGTGCATGTACACGCAAGCATAAATAGCAGGGCTGACAGGCACCAAATAGATTTCTCCTTATCAGTAAATACGGGAACAACAAGAAAGAAGAACTAAAACTCGAATGATGAGATTATTTCAAACGTTTCTTAAGTTGTTTAAATAGTATTACTTTTTGTTTTCATATTATACCTTATTAGTAAGGAATCGTGTTGAAGTACCCTGCCTCATCTCCAACAAGCAACACTCCTTGTCTCTTGACGGCGACGGCGATTGGTCTCTCTCTCACTTCGATAAATTCTTGGAATCTGCCAGAAGAGTTCAGACGAACTATCCTGAAGTTCGTATAGTCTGCTATAAATACATGGTACTTGCTGTCTATGCAGACGTCCTTGAGTATAATTTGGCTATCTCCGCCGTATCTAAAGAGTTCGTTATCGAGTATATTGATATTGTAACCGATTACAATATTGTCTTCGGCGTCACTTACTACGACGATGTTATCGCGTAGTGCCAAATAGTTAGGAGCCCTAAATGAGTGCACATTCATGCCGTCCAGTTCTAACTTAGAAGTAGATTTATCTATATACGCTACGAAATCGGGCCCTGAATCTGTAGGAATGATGGCCAAATCGAATATCTCGCGCGTAGGAGGATTCAGAGGTTTGTTAGCGATGAAATTCCCCGCAACAGAATACGTATCATAGGATGCTGTCGAGTCACAAGCCAGAAATATACTAGTAGACGTTGATTCTTTGAAGTACGTTCCTACACGAGCGTAATTAGTTTGGAAGAAAGTTTTGACTAAATTGAAATCAGTATCTAAAATCATGAACGTTTTTGGGTCATCTTTTATCACTGCAATTTGTCCACTATGTGTAACAGCAATATCGATTATTTTTTCTGTGAATAATTGAGTCCTTTCACCGACTTCTGCAATTAAATAAAAACAAAAATGGTCAACATCAGGATTTTAGAATCATTTCATTTGTGCCCGTCGTGTGGAATTCATGTCGATTGTATAAACAATTCCCCAAGCCTTTGTTTGAATGGAGAAACTTTTGGAATGTATACCACATTGGCGTTTTGCTTGGTTAAAGGTTAATCAAATAATACGTTAACTTTATAAATAATGGGTACTTTTGTGACGTTTCAAAATTCAAATGGGGAAGTTTTCAGAAAAGATGATTGAAGAAATAAGTTCAGTTTTCCTCTTTACATTCTAAATAACATTTGTAAAATAAAGAAATGAGTTATATGTTAAACTGGAAAAATATTTTGAGAGACATACAAAACAAACCAGGAAGTCCAGGAATACTGTTAAAAACATTTTTTGACTTGTAGTACAGTCTGTTTGAAGTATAATTGCACTAAGGCGCCATTTCCTGTCCAAAGTATCATTATTTCATATATTTTTGATCTACCGAAGTGGTATTAGTCCAGTGTACGATAACAGGCCTCGAAAATTGTGCTTGTTTCCATTGAGTCCAATGTTAATTTATCAATCTTCCGAATACCCCCTGTTTATCAATTACCATTTATAAACTACTATCTATATGGCTATACTAAAGTGTCATTTTCTCCAAAAGGCCACTATGGAATTTTCCAATATTGCTGGTTTCTATAGCCTATATATTTACTTATAAAAAACCAAACAGGCACAATTCTAAAAATTTCTTATTTTCAATGACTCTAGCCATTAAATTGCTAACGAAAACTCCATTGAGTCTCGTGTTAATTTATCAATATTCAAAAGACCTCCTGCAGAACAGTTCAAGAGCAATAAAGTGAATCTCCCTGGTGTTTAAACAAAACGTGCATGTCTTCAAAATGAGAAGGCTCGCAAGCTGGATTTTGTTAAGTTCAAAAGATATTGGTGTTTAAATTTTGGAGATTCCCATTAACCGCCATTATGAACTACTCTGAATATGGTTTTACTAAAGTGTAATTTCCTCCAAAAGTTCACTATGGAATTTTCTGATGTTGCAGATTTTAATACCCAATGTGTTGAGTTTAAAAAACCAAACAGGCACATTTCTTAAACTTTCTTATTTTTAACATATTTAGCGCTTAGTTGACCGAAAACCGCCACTGGCTGCAATTATAAACTCCAATGAACATGGATTTGCAAATAAAGTGTACCTTTCTCCAAAAAGTCCACTGTGAAATTTTATAATCTCACAAATTTCTAAAGTTGATATATATTGTCTTGAAGGACCAATCTGGCACAATTTAAAAAATCTTGTTTTTAATATATTTAGTCGTTAAGTTGACCGAAAATCGCCATTGGCTCCTATTATAACCACTTAAAATGTCCTTTTCCCCAAAAGTCCACTTTGTATTTTTTGCAGGTTTCTATAGTTAATCCATTGACTTTTTAGAAACCAAACAGGCATAAGGTGCATTCAAAAATCCTCATTGGCTGCAAATATAAGTTGTTATCAATATATGGCGCTACCTAAGTGTCCCTGCCTCAGAAAGCCCACTATGAATTTTTCTAATATTGCAGAATTCTGTTTATATAATATTGATTTTAAATGGACCAAACAGGCACAATTCTATAATCTCTTTTTTTGTAATAGTTAAATCGTTAAATCGCAAACAAAAATTTTCTTGAAAAGCTATGCTTCCGAGATGAAATGTGCCTGTTTGGATTTTTCAAAGTCAATATATCAACTATAGAAATCTGCAATATTCCAAAAATTCACATTGGACTTTTTTGGGAAAGGTCACTTTAGTAAAACCATATTGATATCAGTTTATAATGGCAGTCAATGAGGATTTTTGTATGTGACTTATAGCTAAATATATTAAGAACAAGACATTTTTAGGAGTGTACCTGTGGAGTTTTAAAAAGTCAATAAATAAATTGTAGAAATCTGCAATGTCAGAAAATTGCAAAGTGGACTTTTAGAGAAAATGACACTTCATTAGTAAAGCCATGTTGACAGCGGGCTCAATGGAAACATGCACAAATTTCGAAGCCTGTTATTATCCACTAGGGCCACTTTTTGACACCACTTCGGTGGATATCAGAAATATATGTATTAATGAGACTTTGGTCAAAAAATGGTGCCATATACAGGGTGGTCAAAAAAATTGGAACACTTGTAAATGAATGCAATACCTTTATTTTTCTTCTAAAATGCACCAAACTTTAACTGAGCATAGTTCTGTCATTTATATATCTGATGTAAAGTTTATAGGTGAAAACCCCAAAGCCAATGCATTAAACTAGTCAATGTTGGCTGAGACCATCGTAATACGCTTGTCAATTTCGCCGCTACATTTTCAAGTATTCTTTATTTCAAAGCGTATAATATGAACATGTTGATTGCTATAAACATTTTACAAAATCATATTCATGAGTTGACAAAAGGTATTTATATCTAGGGTTTACCAGAAAAATATTTTGCTAATGCCAACTTAAACTATACCCATTGAAATGATCATCTTTATTTAAGAGTAGGGAAAAAGGAACATGTCAGAGTTGAGCGATTGCATAACCCTCACTGCTACTCAAGTGACAAAAGCATTGTTCTCACTTTTCAGTAAAGGCAAAACTGGCTAGTTATTCACAAAGTTTTATTAAAAACCAACGCTAAGCACATACACGCTGTATTATAATATATAATATACCATTTGTGTTCTGGGAGACTCCTCTATGATATTGATAAATATATTGATATATCCAATGAAAATTATTCATATCAGAATAATGAGGAGGGGGCTTTATTTACCAGTAAAATCAGACTGTCCTGGTCCCTCTCTGGAGAATATTAAATCAGTGATAAACCCAACAATAGTCATCAAAATATGCTTGATACCCATCATTTGGGTGAAACATGTTAAATATGTTACTAGGTTTGATCTTCCAGGGCAAACGTTTAGAAAGTTTGGTCAAGCTGAATAATGTTCCAATTTTTTGGACCACCCTGTATATAGCAAGTGCACTTCAAGGGTTTAATTGTCATTACTGACTCAACTTTTGTTAAAAGCTCCTACTATAACAAACTTCCCAGATTTAGTTAGAGGATTACAAGTGACACACCCGATAGAATGTACAAATCACTAAACCCTTACATCATAATTACAAATAAAACTTCCTAGGGAAGCCAAATCAAAAAACGGACTTCGAGATATGACAAAGCAGATGTTGAAGAACTAAATAGAGGTATCTTTGAAATTAACATCAACAACAGAGATGATCAGAGTGTGACGAAATCCCTATGAACAAATATTTCCCCAAATTTTCGAAGAAACCATCTCAAATAAAATAACCACTTTTAGCTCAAAGAATCAGCCGTGGTTAAATAATTGCACCAATAATATTTTCGACTTAAGTCAAAAGCATATGAACGCTTCAAAAATTCAAAAGACTCTGTAGGTCATGAATTTTACAAAGAAAAGGCCAAAATAATTCGTGATAAAATAACTGAAACCAAAGAAAACTACTATTCCAAGACTTGTGTAAAACATTTCAACTGAAAACACCTTTATAAAGAAGCTCTTGAACTGAACATTGTATAATGATTTCCCTACTTCTTGACATTATTAGGGTTAAGGTAGTACTGAATAGTATGTCAGCCTTTTTCTACATTCAGACTTCCCTTAAAAATCTTGGTTGAGATAAATTGATGTTTAACAAAATATGTGGAAATTAGAAATATTGACTGTTTAGTTATTTCTAAAAAAATGTTTTATTTCAAATAGAAAATACTTTCTTATATTTATAAACCATAAATGTATAAATGTATAAAAACCATAAATGTATAAAAATAAAAGAAATGATAAAAAATGAAAATAAAATTGTTGCGGCGGAACTCGAACCAGCATCCTTATTGCTAAGAGTTACACTATTTATTCTTGTTCAACGAGAGCTTAAACGAGAGAAGGATCTATGATGTGCGAAATCACTGTACAATAGTCACTGAAAGACTATCTTAATGTACGATATTTATATTAAACTTTTATTTAACACTGTTCAACACATTCTTGGAATCCACCTATTCACACCGTGTATTCGTAAACTAATGGCAACATTGTTTTCCTAGATCCAGTTGATGTAGCAATTGTTAATTAGAACTACATCGATTGAAACAGTAGACACTATTAAAGTTTTAGGATATAAATATGTACCTCGTGTAGTTGTTGTTGTTTGTGGTTCAGTTGTTGTACTTGGTCCAGTTGTTGGAGTTGTTGTTGTACTTGGTCCAGTTGTTGGGGTCGTTGTTGTACTTGGTCCAGTTGTTGGGGTCGTTGTTGTACTTGGTCCAGTTGTTGGGGTTGTTGTTGTACTTGGTCCAGTTGTTGGGGTTGTTGTTGTGCTTGGTCCAGTTGTTGGAGTTGTTGTTGTACTTGGTCCAGTTGTTGGGGTTGTTGTTGTACTTGGTCCAGTTGTTGGAGTTGTTGTTGTACTTGGTCCAGTTGTTGGGGTTGTTGTTGTACTTGGTCCAGTTGTTGGGGTTGTTGTTGTACTTGGTCCAGTTGTTGGGGTTGTTGTTGTACTTGGTCCAGTTGTTGAGGTTGTTGTTGTACTTGGTCCAGTTGTTGGGGTTGTTGTTGTACTTGGTCCAGTTGTTGTTTGTGGTCCAGTTGTTGTACTTGGTACATCTTCTTGAAAGTGCACACAAAACTCGCCTCTGCAGCCTTTGGCTACCCACATGTACCCTGTTCTATAATCAAAGTTCCATCTGTCGTTCATCGTACATCGGGTCCTGGAATACAGATCTCTAACATTCATTTCTTGGATTCCTGAAACAAATATGTCGTTCCCAGTCCGATGTCTTCTGACAAACTTTAAGTTTACATCTATCTATCATACTGTAAAGTATGTATGGACATTTCATTAACTTCTAGGAAACGGACATACACTGTACTTTCATGTTTGTATGATGGTATTTAAGGTTTTATGTTTTTTACTGAATTTATAATGGAGTTTATTATATATCTCTCTTTATTTCCAATTTAGCATGGAGTACAAAAATGTTAAACATTTAACAGAGCTGTGAGCCTAATTTTAGTGGAGTCAGTTGGCTGTTCAATTGCACATGCTATATCATTTTAGTATCATGAATACATATATTTTTCATATCTAACGAAGTGGTGTTGAAAAGTGGCCCCAGTTGATAAAAGCATTTTTGTAAAATATAATATGAACTAAAAATGGTGCTACATATATAGCATGTGCAATTCTAAGGTTTTATAGACCCAACTGACTCAACTATCTGTGCAAGTTCAAAAGTTAAGGCTAACACAAAAACACACGTTCTTTGCAAAGGTCCATGTGCAGTATGGCAAGTGATTTTAGACAGCCATATCTTTCACCATGAGTACTTTCTGGCCATAAATACAGTGTTTTTCATTAAAACAATATGTTTTCTTTCAAGTGAAGTCCCAATGATAGTAAAATATCAATTCAACTCTCTGAATGAACAATTTCTGAAAAGGGGATGGTTATTGAAATGGGTTATTAAAAGTTAAACCACATATCCCATATTGTTTGATTTATATTTTTATCATCGGACAGACGGACAGACAGACGGACAAGTAAGTGATTGCAATGAATCACCACGTGAGCTAAAAAGAAAGGGTGATTGGGGATAGAGGTGCAAAGGTATGATAGTAGAAAGTTGATGCCAATAGAAATGAAACAATATTGACCATGACTTTGTGCTCTTCTATCGCAACATCCATGTCTAAAATTAAAGAAATGGGATTTAAACTGACCATACCTTGATATTTGTGTCTCGAGGGTTACATTATGAATTGACATCGATGCCAAGAATGGTTTGTCGTCGAACAAAGGACACGTAACGTTCCTCCATCTCCTACTTGCACATTGAAAGCAGTGGGTTCCTGTTAATAAAATAGTAACTGTACAATAGTGATGAGTAGAAGATGCAATAAGAAAGTTTAGAGTATCTTCTTATACATTTGACAAGGCTCAGTAAATAGACGCTTTTTAACTTTTTACTTTGCTTTTTACTACTTAACATGAAATAAATAACTAAATAAGAAATGTTCGATTTTACAAAACAGTTGATTATATAAAACCCTTCCAATATATGTAAGTTAGCCACATATTTCAATTTAAACGATTGTAATTCGAGTGTACTTTAAAACTACAGCGTGATATAAAACAATTGACACCGTTCCAAACAATGTTTCATAACTTTTTTGTCAGACTTGTTTTTGCACATTAAACTAGATCCCATTGTGCAACTCCACATGAAGTTTCAGATGACTAGCTCATTTTGATGCACATTTATGAGCGTTTCAAAATAAGTCTATCCCTTTGCTGGCACAACTGGATGTTACACAAAAGACGACACCCACATTTTGTAACATAATTTTGGAAATAAGTCATGATCTTATCAACGACAACTACATAATTGTGTTTAATTGAATGGACTTCATTTCCTTGAAAGTACAAGCCAAAATCATTATCATTCACAACGTTATGTTACAAAAGCTGGGTGACATATTTTGTGCAGAATTATGTGTGTCTGAAAAGGAATGGACGATATTTAGAGAAAATTTTGCAATGCTAATAAAATTGGACCCACTTGAGCGACGCATGTGAATTCTTTTGAGGTGGTTATGCATTATTTCTCCCTTAAATGTACTAGAGTACAAGTATTTATAGGCCAAGCAAATGGGCTCATAAAAGGCCCAAACATCCCAAAAATTGCAACAGTTTTTAAATTAGTCTTATATTATGTATTAATATCAGTTGAAAAACATATCAAAAATATAGAAAAATGTATGCAGTGGACAAATATGAAATTTCACTTCCTAGGTACCCCCTACAACCCTACCCCAAAATTGAGTATTGGTAGTAAACAATTTTTTCTTCCCAAATGGAATACTTTAGTCAAGTATTCAAGCTTTATTATGATAGATCACATATTCACAAATAATTAAAATATTATTTTAATCAATTTTGAGACCAGTCATTGGTCATTTGACCCCAAAGTATAACAAAATAGGCCACAAAACAGGCATGTTATCACATATCTATTTAGATATTTTAGGATCAGTTTGTCAGAAAAGCATGAAAAAAATCATGTTGTTACATATTCATATGAACTTCATATTTGGTGAGTGTCAGAATTCTAAGGTGTATACTTAGGAAGAAAAAAATTATTTCATTTTCATAGTTTTGCCCCGCCCACTATAGGGGAGACTATAGTTTTGATGATTAACTCCCACAATGCATCACATTTGTATTAGAGTTGACATCTAAATCATTTATATAGGCTTGTCATCATCTAAAATACAGGTTTTGTGAAGGTTTATACCTTATTAGTATGAAAAATAGGAATTATTAGTTGCACCAGGTAAAATGTTAAGGTGACCTCACTTTTATTTGATGAATAATTACATATCACCACTCTGATATTAGGGTATTGATAACTGGTTTATTTATGGTTATTAAACGGAATTTAAACTGACAGAGAACATTAAAATCTCAGATATCTGGGGAGTCTTTCATTATATTAATATAATTTCAGTGCATAGGAATGATGGTAATTCTGTTTGTCAGGTTGGAAAACATTGAGTGTACATGTGCTGCATTCAGAATCGGATGCAGATATTGTGATTGTGAAAACTGCAATCCAAAGTGTCCAAACCTCAAATACATTACTCATACAGATCTCCTTGTGCTTTTCATTTATCATGCACAAAACACAAACTTCAACATTTTCTTCAAACCTGAACCAAAAGCAGCAGAAACAAAATGTTGGAATATAAATGAAATAAGATTGTCTTTGGGAAAAGTGGTCTGTGACAATATTTTGTTTCTTTTCTGGGGTGTGACATCGCATTCAGGTTATATATGGCATAGACAAGAGGCTATCATTGAGGCAGATAAAAAAGAGTGAGTTCTTGAGAAAACAAGCGGTTGTTTTTAAATTACCAAAAGCACTGGTGATCCGCTCGATTACGCTTGTCGTTTCGGTAACAAAATGTCTAAACGTCGAAAGTACGATATTTCTTTTTTCCTTTTTTTCACGCGTTGTAGGCAGAATCCCCACGATGTTTTTTTCTCACAGAATTGTTGATTTAATTCCTTACTTAAGTTAAATAAACGGTTTGGGTTAAAAGTGCAGATCTTAATTGTTTATCGAAATACCGTTTATGTAACTTAAGTGAGGAATTAAATCGAAGATTCTGTTGTCTTCTGAACTATTTGTTCGCAAATATGTACATTTTTTAAACATATAATACTGATACATGTTTGTGATAACAATATTGTGGGAATTCTGCCTACAATGTGTGAAATAAAGAAAAAAGAAAAATCAAACCTCGGATGTTCCGACATTTTGTTACAGCGTAAACAAGTAGAAAACCAGTGAAATGCAAGCAACTCTGTTAATCATGTGTTATAACTCTCATCTTCATTCTTATCTCTTGTTTTAATGTTTCAAGTGTTGTTAGTATCGAAAAAAGGTCCACAGATAAAAAAAACTGGTGGTATTGATGTCCAGTCTGGCACATTTCGATATTTTGAGCACGTTTTGTAAATGGCCATAAAATCGTGACTATTAAGACGTGTCGCAAAAAGCTCGCGCACGCATTGTTACACATTTTGTGGCGTAATCCAGAGGATCCTCGTTTTTAACATGATAGAATGTGACGTTTTTGAGAAAAATGTACACACATGAAAATCCTTTCGTTCTCCACATTTACCTCTATAATTCAAAACATTTTAGACAAATAACTCTGATATCATATATATATTGTTAATGGGCTAGGAGCATCATAAAACACGAATCAATTGATATTTTAGGTGAAATAAATATACGTGTTGCTGTGCTTGAAAATAGGCGAATGGCGTAAATTAGCCCTATTTTAATGAATTTTGAAAACCTTTCGTCCTCCACTTTTCCACATACAACAGAAAACACATACTTTTGTGAACAAAATCAACTATTTATTAATAAACTAGAGTTTAGGAGCAAAATAATCGCATATATGATTTATTAAAAATTGATCTCGTATTTTTTGTTTAATGTACACCTGAAAAGTTGAAGGTACCAAAAAATGAGCAAAACAGGTCGCTGTCAACAGATTCTATTTTTCAGACTCTATGACGTCACAATATGGGACGCTTACTAAAATTCATCCTTTGAAATAAAACTTCCATCTACCTTTATCAAGACGAAAAATAAGTATAATGGTCATATATTGTTTGAGTTATGAGCGTTTAAAGACGAAAAATAATTCAAAATGTAACGTGTCAACATGGGATATTTGCCAGATGTTTTGGTAAAAAACTCTTTTTTAAAAACGAACGCGCAAAAAATGTGAACGGAGTGTAGTTGATCGAAAACCTTCATCGAAACAGCTTTAAAATGATATATAATTTTAATTAGAATATTATCTTATAATCCGGGGAATCAAAGTTACATTCACGCGATACCCTTAAAAACAAATGCGCTAGATCATAGATAGATCAATGACACTTAGTAGAATGAAATAACAGTGAACAAGGTAATTGTGCCAAATATGATGCCAAACCCATGCTGAATGACTGGGTTATTAACAAACATTTGGTTGGGTTACCTTTTTTGGCTCATATTATAAACTGATGTCAGGGACAGGGATATTTAACATTTTGTTGCCTTTTCAAGGACATTTTTTGACCACTGATTGTAACAAATCGTTCTCTGTTTTACCAGAAATGTATATTATATATCAAATTGAATTTAAAAGGAAAAAACATTTGATAATTTAACAGATATCAACTAAAAGTAGGGCTTCCCCTATATTTCACCTGGCATTTGCTGTTTTTCTACTTTTTTTTACATAATCCTTTCCTGAAAACCTCAAAAAACTGTTTTCAGGACAAAATAAGCCTTTACAAATAATTTAGTTGTGCTATTGAGTTCAAATATGACATATCTTGGAAGTAATTAAACAAAAGTAAGGTCACCCCAAAAGTGGGTGTGGTAAAATATTGAAATTTCAAATATTATTTTCACGCTCAATATTCACTTAATGACCCTGATATTTATCAAAGACAATGTTCAGGTGTACAATACCCTCCTTGATATTTTTCATGCAATTCTGATGAATTGATACAGAAATAAATACATTGTTATATTAAATTCGGGCTATTTGATGGCCTATTTTCAGATATTTGGCGCTAGAAATGCCAATTATTGCACTCAAATAGTTGGTTAACAATTTTTAGTTGCTCTTATGTCAGTAAACTATCATAATATTACTCGTTTAGTTGACAAGAGTATTCCATTTTGAAATTAAAAAATATTTACAATCCCATACTCAAATTTGGAGGGGGGTACCTGGAATGTGACATTTCATATTTGTCCACTGCATATATTTTTCTATATTTTTGATATGTTTTTCAACTGGTATCAATATACAATATAAGCCTAATTTAAAAACTGTTGCAATTTTTGGGATGTTAAACTTCCATTTGCCTAGCCTATTAATAGATATTCAAGTTGTGCAGCGTAAGGTTGGAGTTATTTTTTGTGTCACCCTGTATAATAACATACATTGTAGACGACTTCATTTCTAGGGTTCAGCTTTTCCTTACCTTGACCGCAACGATCGCCATTTGCTCCGGGTGGGCATAAGCACTTATACTTTCCGCCAAATGTGTTGATACACACGGCGTCCTCCCCGTGGCAAGGTGCCGAAGCGCAAGCGTTTTCTATAAAAACAAGAAAAATATAAATATAACTTATACAATACATACTGCATTTATATACTTTGATTGAAGCATTTGGCAAACTCCCATACAGTGTCTCGGTATAGACACTGCGGCGGTCAGATGAGGAAATTCAAAAATTTGGGGAAGATAGTCCCCCTTTTCATTACAGATGTACTAAATTTTCACACAAGTTGTATTTTTTATTTCTCTTTTCAAATAAGACAAGTACAAAAATAAAAAAACATTTCAGTTATTTTCCACACAAACTCCATTCATTCAGACATGTGCAACAGTCATACTATAAGTTCTGGTACATATAAAAACATATTGTTTTCAAATTGTGTCACATTCAAATTGTGATTCACCTCGTTAAACTCTTTTGTATAAATATAATATTAAATTGCAAGGGTATGTCTATTTGGTACCATATTTTTCTTACTAACTTGCCTCCCAAAAACCATGCCATGCGCATTAAAATTAGAATCAGCTTTAAATAAACGTTTAAAATTCACTTTGATTGCTTTCAAAGAGATTTGAATCATTTGCTCTCTCGGCATTTGTGTTTTAACGTATCTCTTAGGACACAATAGTTACATTTAGAGTCATTTCTAATGCATATCTGCGCTAAAAAGGCATTTGTTGTACACATACCGTGAAGTATTTTGAATTGAAGCGTTTTATTCTGTTTCGCACACATATAAGGTAATTTAAAATTATCGGTGTTCTTAAATTGACGGTCGTGATTGTCTTTCTTTATTTCACGCGTTGTAGGCAGAATCTCAACGATGATTTTTCTCACAAACGTGTATCAGCATCATATGTTTTAGAAAATGTACATGTTTGCGAAAAAATAGCTCAGAAGACAACAGAATCGACGATTTAATTCCTCACTTAAGTTACATAAACGGTTTTGGTTAAAAGTGCAGATTTTAACTGTTTTAATAATAGTATTTTCTAGTTGATGGCATATTTGAATTCTGTATAAAAATAATTTTGATTTACCCAGTTATGTGCCTATATTCAGATAATATTATTCAATTGTCAAGAAAAAGGTAGGGCAAGTTCCAATTGATACAATTTTGAAAAACTCAAAAGTCCATTTAACCCTAAATGATCACAGTATTATGTCAGTGCTCACCGTTTATACTAAATGACAATCCACATGTCAACACAGGCCAACAAAACAATGTTGATACATTTCAATGATGTTTTAAGGTAATCCAAGTGGAAATGCTCAATAGATCATGAAATACAGTAACGTTTGCCATTTTTTCCTGGCGTTCTGGCCTACCCGTGCATACACATGTTGACATCTATGTATCCACCCATACAGCAAATAGTCTTTTAAATATGATATTTAATGTTTTATTTGACTTACCATGCCCAGGCCAGGTACAATTATCAGCATCGGGAACATCTGAAGAGAAGTTTAACTAATATATAGAAACGTTAAAAATTAAAACCAAGTAGGTCAGCAACTTATACTCAAAAATGAAAGTTATATGTATTATATCATATAACATTATAACATGAGGGAGAGTGTGATACGTCAAATTATTATATCACTGTCTAGCTAACAACTGTTTGATTGGACAAAACCAGGTCATATGTCATGGAATTTCTGGCGGTATTTGATGGCCATGCTAATCAGATAAGACAACTGTGTGATAGCTAGCGATTGCCCACGCTCCCGGAAATTTTCAATGAGATGAGAATTCGTTTTCGCTCAGTGTAAGTCAAAATGGCAGACGAGGAGATTTTAAGGTTTTAAAAGTATGCATGTGAAATACAGTGAAATACCGTGATCTGACGTCGTATTTAAAGGAATTTCTGACGAATAAAAGTCCAAATAGTGATTAAAGTTTTTGTTGATTGGACGGAGGAAACAGGGAACAGTATAAACTTGCCAAAAAGTGTGAAATATATTCAAAATTATAATACTTTTTTTGTGTAGTGAGAAATCAATGCACGACTACAGACAGGGATCACTGCAGACGTCATAGATCTGGGCCATACGAGGTCCAATGCAAAAAGGGGATCTACTTCGGAAAAAACACACTGGTTTTTCAATGTGTAATAGATGCTGATAAATCTACGACGTCGGGAGTAGATACATGTAACTCGGTCAGACGGGTTTGGTCATGCAGACCCATCCACGATGTCGAATGCTATGGAATCAACAGACAATGTCAGACAGTAAATAATAAAACAAATATTTCACTCTACTCAAAAGGAATCAGTCAATGAAATGTAGGATTATTAACAGTTAATCAGTAGCCCCCGCCCCTTATAATTGTGCTTGAGAAAAATTGATATGCTTTTTTTGAAAGTCACACTGTATCTAACATAACATGTAATATAGTCTATTTCAGTAACTATTCAAATCTGTAGTTGTGTACATTATCAGCAGTAGGTTTGATACTGGACAGGTTTATCGTGACTTTTGAATTCAGTATCACTTTTGTATAATTGTATGTTTTTTATTCTTCGTACTAGAAGTAGACTTGACAAAAAGACGATGCACTGATAAATTCCCGGGAACGATGTCGGAACGCTAACTTTTAAGACCAATGACCCCCTCCTTCCCTAACTGTGCAAATACAATTAATTTTCCGATTTCGATCTTCGATGAATTGTTCCATAACTCAATTGAGTGTGTATGCATTACCAATAGACAAAATAGGGAGGCTGACTACTTGCTGTGGTACTCACCTTCACTGCAGTTTTTGCCCTGTTTGTTGGGCGGACAAAGACACTGGTATCCACCGTTCCAGGGAATAGAAAAGCCAGTTTTGCAGGGAGACTCTGCAAAACAATCAAACGGTCAAACTAGTTTTCATGATTAACTTAGAGGTCATATTCATGTGAACCCTCGATGTATTTACATTTTACATTGGCCTATTAGCAACGATTTCATTGCCAGATACAGAAGTGTTTTGGCAAGTCGACAGTTTTGTGTTTCGAATGCTGTTGTACGTAAGATATATAATCCCTTCCTTGCCATGTATAATCTAAATCTACAGGGTGTCAAATTAAAAGGTTGTTCTCCCTCTCTAACTTTAACATTATTGTGATGTTGCTTAACTTGTTTGTCTGCATGATATCTGACAAATTGTTCTTTGGCACATCAAAACTAAACTTCATGAAGCAACTCCACAAGAAGTTTCAGATAACGAGCTCAACTAGATGCACACAAAAGTTTATATTTTGGAAATTAAATAAGGGGAGAACATATTTATTTGACACCCTCTATATTGCAATAAAAAGTTCTTGATAATATTACAGAAAGCAAATTTACCTCTATGGTTTTGTAGAAAATGTGAAAACAATAGAAAAAGTTTAATTTTGATAGTGATTCGTTAACTAGTACACTATATTATGCATATTTTGTGCATGTTGTGCAATTGTGCATATGTTATTAAACATTACATGTTATATGAATTGCATAGTATCTCATTATAAGAAAGCTTGACTTATGCTTATGGTTAAGTTCATATTCTATAATATAACTAAATTAGTTTAATATTTCAGCTTTTTTTCTCATTACCTATCACAACAGCAGTGATCACTCCTAGCGTCACCGATAACATCAGCATAGAATGTAAGTGGGTCATATTTCGATCTCTTGTCAGCTATGATTTATCAAAACCTGGAAAAGTAACATTAGGTAAGTATATATAGAGTAATGTATATGGTTTTTATATTGATAAGCAACTCTCTTCTTATGCTTCTTCTTTCTAAATGTTCATAAGCAATCCTCTTCTTAAAATTTAACTTTCTTGATGTTCACCAAGCAATTCTCTTCTTATGCTTCTTCTATCTGAATGTTCATAAGCAATTGTCTTCTAACACAACCCCTTTCCAAAATGTTCATATTCAATCCTTCTCTTACACTTCTTCTTTCTAAATGTTCATAAGTAATCCTCTTCTTACACTTCCTTCTAAATGTTTATAAGTAATTCTCTTTCATTCTTCTCTCTGATGTTCATAAGCAACCTCCTTATTACACTTCTTTCTAAATGTTCATAAGTAATCCTCTTCTTACGCTTCTTCCTAAATGTTTATATGTAATTCTCCTCTTTCATTCTTCTCTCTGATGTTCATAAGCAACCTTCTTCTTACACTTCTTTCTAAATGTTTATAAGTAATCCTCTTCTTACGCTTCTTCCTAAATGTTTATAAGTAATTCTCCTCTTTCATTCTTTTCTCTGATGTTCATAAGCAACGTTCTTCTTACACTTCTTCCTAAATGTTCATAAGTAATCCTCTTCTTACACTTCTTCCTAAATGTTTATAAGTAATTCTCCTCTTTCATTCTTCTCTCTGATGTTCATAAGCAATCTTCTTCTTACACTTCTTTCTAAATGTTTATAAGTAATCCTCCTCTTACATAATTCTTGCTGAATGTTCAAAAGCAACCCTCTTCCTACACTTCTTCTTTCTAAATGTTCATAAGCAATATTCATAAGTAATCCTCAATAAGTAACCCTTTTATTGACGATCGCTAATAGACTTTCAGAAAGAAGGAGTTTAGAAAGAAGAGGTGTAGGAAGAGGGATGCTTATAAACATTAAGAAAGAGGAAGTATAAGAAGAGGATTGCTAATGAACATTCAGAAAGAAGAAGTGTAAGAAGAAGATTACTTATGAACATTCAGAAAGAAGAAGTGTAAGAAGAAGATTTATAGAAAATATAACATTATTGTAAAAATCTTTAGTTTTGCTGAGATAAAGTGTTCACTTTGGGGATTTTATTATTGATAATTAAATCATTTGGTAAATACAGACAGACTTATTTCGGTAAGGGTTCGAATAGAAATTCGATATTTCGCATATATGTGTTACTCTTAAGGAATACCATAATGTCCGTTTACGCAAAAAGCAAATTGGCATATAACATGCCAATACCACTGTGCATATCATTTGACTGCACCATAAAGTCATCATTAATTGATGGCGAGAATGAAAGCTGTTTGGCGCGTTTTATATATACATGTATACGTACATCGCCTTCTATAGATAGCTATCCTTTCAAAAACCTGTCAAACCGGTTATGTCCATTGATTTATGCTACGTTTCAGGCGGTGATTCAATGAGCTCAGAGAAAATACATTTTACTTAATACACGCCCGGTGATCGTACAAAATGGATGGAGGGGGGGGATTAGGCGATTTCTGCAAGAAAACTCAACAAATTTGGAAGATTTATTTTTTCAAGAGAAAATTTACAACTGAATTGCCAAATGAATAGGCGCAGTGCATGGCAAAATATGTTAGGTCATCTAGTATTTTTTTTTGAACTGATACTCTTCAAAGATATCAGATCTATTAAAAAAGGCGCATCATCACCAACGTGCAAAAGTCAATGTTTTTGCTATAAATCGGGCAACAATGGTCTACAAGACCTGTAATAAATAGGTATAAGGGACGTTATTATCACAATACTAATGTCATTGCTCACTTTTTAAAGTTAGTTTCCATGCCTTATACAAAAAATAATCGAAATAAATTAATATTGGATGGAGGGGGGGAGTGGATGGAGGGGGGGATTTATATGTCTTTACGATGGAACTAATTCACAAGAACTCGTGTATTTGAAAAAACTAAACTCAGTACCCCAGTAAGAAACTGGATATTATATCTCTGGAGAATGAAAAATAGGAAAATTTCGAGTCATAAGAATAAATTCAAGTATCATGTCTTATCATGTCTTACATACACGTGATCCCCCCCTCCATCCAATCCCCCCCTCCATCCAATATTAATTTATTTCGATTATTTTTTGTATAACGCATGGAAACTAACTTTAAAAAGCGAGCAATGTCATTAGTATTGTGATAATAACGTCCCTTATACCTATTTATTACAGGTGCGCAGAAATATTAAAACATATTTTAAGACTAATATAGGTCATTGATATTACTTTGTTTTAATTTAGAAGAAAATAGAAGAATTGTAGAATGTAGATAAAAGACATAATAGCATAATGAGATGTCATCACATAATACGTCATGTCGGTCCCGGTGTAATAGGGTAGAAGTTCCTATCAAATTATGGTCCTACTTTCCATTGATTTATATGGTGACCTAAATACAACTCTTTCCTTCATCATCTTATACGCAATCAGGGCCAGTAAGGGCCGTTAAGAAAGGGGACCATAATCCCTGGGTGCCCATCATTTCTTTCACACCGGGGTAGCTATACCTCCTTCACACATATAAGGATATATCAAAATATATTACATGTTTTGTTTTCAAATCTTCAGAGTTGATAGATAATTGAATGATGTATCACTGGTGAGAAAATCAAAGGAATTGGTCAATAAAAAACCTCTGTGCAAAAAGCGTGTATTACTTATTGATCACGCCTCGTATATAATGTACAATGTAAATGGAACTTTTCTTTGTCTATTTAATAGAGTGTCGAAAAAACTATGTTTTATATTGGTTAAAGTTTTTTTTTGATGATCTCAAAATTTTAACTCTTTGCTGCTAAAATGGATGGTAAATAAAATCTTTGGATATTAAAGGATTGCCGGGAGAGGTAGATTAATAGATTAATTAATTCCAAATGCCTATATGGAAGGAAAAATAAGAACCACATCACTATTTATTTATTTTATTCATTTATTATGACACGCTATCAAATGAATACTTTCGGTTTTTATACCAAATGCGCCCAATGTGTCAATGCAAGAAGTTTTGATCATATTTTTTAAGTTACTGTAATAATAAAATATGATTCCCCTGAAAAATTCGAATCATTTGTGCAGTAGGAATAACATTGAATCGTATGTTTGATCTTCTAATAAAATTTAGTAAAATATTAATACTTACATAAAGTACAACTTCTTTGTTGATTCTGATCCTCGTTCGATATCCCGTATGTCGATTTAATATAAGCGACTCTTTAAATAAGACCCGTTGTTGGATAAACTGACCAATCACCATGAATATGTACACAATACAAATAAAAGGAACATTGCCAAAATCAAAGTATTGTATATCTTAACCCAACTGTGCCAATATATACTATGACACTATGATTGAGGGGTGGGAGAAATACAATTAGACGCATAATATATGGACATTGTTTCAGCCAAACTTCACCAAGATGATTTACTACTTATATTGAGACCATGGTGGATTTTTGTGGTGGATACGATATATCAAAAACCTGCGCAAAGCCTTATTTCTTGATATTTTGTATTTGAAATATGCTGCTGGTCTTTCGGATGCCTGACAAGTTAAGCTAAACAATGTTAAGGGTTTTAACTTTTCATTAGGCTAGTTGTTTTCCTCTCACCAAGGTCAAATTTGGAATTTGTATTTGAATGGAGTAAAACGCCGAAATCGTCAATAGATGGCGCATGACGTCATTCTTCTATTATCGCCCAAGTTCAGTCAATAAAGTTCGCGGGAAATTTGAATAGAAATCTATATATTTCAAAATACTGCCAAGGCAATGTTGCATTCTCGAATGCGACAACAGGGAGGGAGCATACATTTCCCCTTGAAAGAGGCAGACGATTTCGTTAAATAACAGTTTGTAAATAACGTCTGCACAGCTCCAACCCGGGGATCTCCAAACGATTTCAGTCCGTGCCGAAAATGATGACGCCAAGGCACTGGCTGCCAGCTATGTAGATTTAATCGTAGTTATGTAAACAGATACTAGTTGGCGCTTCTTAACATTAAACATCTAATAAGGTAATTAGTAAGATAAGCCAGGCAGTGAATCTTATTGGATCAGCTAGAGCTTAATGCCTATGGTGTATCATCTGACAGCATTCACCACAATGTTTTATTGCCATAACATTAACAAGTAGAATTAAAATCATCAAAGTCAATTTAAATTATACTAATAGCTAAAAATGAAAGTACTCTAAAAATCATTCTGGATCAAAATTACCTGTATCAATATAATTTGGTGTATCTAGTATTTGAGTCTAATATCAGTGTGACTATGTTTGTGAGTGTATGTATTTCTGGGGGGGATACATGTGTTATGGTTTGTTATTTGAGTTGAGGATGATAATACAAAGAATTCATTACTCACCTATCAGCTGATTGGTGCTCTGTTTATTTTTTATTTCCAATTTGTTCATTTTCATGTCATAGATTTTAAATAATTATCCAGCAACTGTCTAATGTACATACAACTGTCTAATATCCATTTATTGTTTGTACTTTTTATGTTTTCTCTTTGTGTTGAGTCAATATGTCTGTTACAGATACTTTAAAATATGCATAGCACCGTTGGACATATTTTATCCTGTTATTTGGATGGACAGATAGACCGTCTTTATCTAGATTTTCTTTATGCAGATTTTTTTCTAAAACAACAATGCGACAGGTTTTGCCTTTTTTATTAATAACTTTTGATAAATTGAGTGTTTGTAATGTTTATTTTTGCATTTCTAAGTCCTCCATCACTCTAAGTACTTGCTTATTTGTGTATACTCATTCAACTTTAAGCTAATTACCTGTTGGAGGGGGTGTCTTAGATTTAAATTTTCTCAAATTCTGCTGGTGGAAAGTGAATCAAATCTTTTAGACCCTGCAGAGGATACTCTAAACTTAAACACATAGGAAAAAGTACTAACTTTCCACCAGG